ATCAATTCTCTACTCTACTTCTCATAACCTTTTTTATTTCTGGAATTGGCCAGGAAGCGTTATTATTAACTATACTTTGGTGCGAACTGCAGACTTAACCTGCTATGTTCATGCAAATACGAGAAAATATGTATAAATCTATTCGATAAGAGAACGGAATTTTGTAAATTCTTGAAATGATTGAAGATGATTGTGTTATTCTTCAAGTAAGAATATAATGATTCATCCATCAGAAATTCAAAAAAATCAGAGGGTTATATCTCAGTCATTCAATTCATCAGTTCGTAACAAGGCGTCGTGAAGATTTCATCATTCATTATCTCTGAGCAACTCATGAAATTGTGATTATCACCAATTCCTATGAGAATCCACTGTTCATTGAAAATACTCATGGGCTTCAACAAAACTGAATTGACATTTTCCTACGTTGATGTGGGAGAAATCAGTATCTGCAGGAAAATTTCAGTTCATAATCAGCTGTGATATTCGAAATTATAAATAAATACTCGTGCCTGCATGAAAGCTCCTCTTGTCAGTCGAATCCATCAGTTATGACTATTTCAATCAATGTCGAAGATCATGTGGTTTCGAATTGAGGTTTTTGATACATGATATGATACAGTGAATATGTATTCGAATTTGAAGAACTGAGAACTAAGCAGGTTGAGGCCCTGCTGCTATCATACAATTCCTTTGCTAGATCACATAAGCTATCAAATCTGTGAACACCCTATGGTTATTCAAATTCTCAACTAAGAAAAAGAATGAATGTCACATATATCTTTCTGTTAGTATGTTCGATTCAATCGACTACCAAATTGCTTTCTCCTGTGAATCTTATCACATTAAAGTTGAGTCTATTCTCGAATTAACGGAACATTATTCGGCAAAAGTTTACCTAAGTTCGAGAAATGGTATCGTAATTTTTACAGAGATATTTGACGTCATTGACTTGACTTTATAAATGCGAAAGGTTCGAAAGAAGTGAGATTATCTCAACAGTATGTTTGTTATTATCACATCGAGGGTAATTTTTATTCTTGTCAATCTGAGAAATTGGTACCTCGGTGTTAATAGCGAAGTAAGTGGTTAAATTCAAACAGAATGGTGAGAGAATGACAGTGAGAATATGATATAGAGAGAATTATTATGATTAATGATATATTGAAGATGAGTTACGAGATATTGAAAAAAATATCACTCATTGAAGATGATCAATGATGAAATGAAAATGAATGATGATATATTGAGGATTACTATTTGTATATTGATGAATTTCTGAGATGAATTGAAATGGGTTATATTTCATCATGAGTTTACTTATGAATTTACCAATGGTTGATGAACAGCCCGGCTAGGGACGTTTGGCAGATGCATTGTCAAGTAAAATAGTGAAAACTCACCCTTCGGCCAAGACATAATACGTGAGTTATGTACTATATGTTATGAAGAAAGAGATATTTCTTCTAAACGGATTCCAGTTGTGAGATGAATTGAGATATATTTAACTATGAGGTTAGTAATCGTTACTAACCAATTCGGTGAAGGGATGTATGTATGAATCCTGGAATATTGGTGAATACTGGTCCCTAGAGCCAAGGCATGGCACATATATGTTGCAATCAAGGAAATTTGATATAATTGTATTGTTTCAAATATCTGAAACATGTAATTCAATGTTCTCATAGATCTTTTCAATTCGATTAAATGCAAGCGAGGTACTAATTTGGAATTTTCAGTACATGATAACGATATGATATGGAATTTTGTGTCAAGACTCATAAGTAGTTTCCTTCATTTGATAATCGCTCTGAATATCTACCCAACCAGAAAAGTTTTCTCGTTACTGTCAAAAAGCTCCCGTTCAATCGAATTCTTGGAAAATTCTCGAGTTCTGCGGAAGAGTTCTAGAGTACCATGGTAACATTTTCAATTTTGAATATTCTTTTTCATTTTCGTCGATATTCAGTAGTTTCATTCTCGTTCGATTCTTGAGAAATAACCCCACTCTCCTGAATACGTTGTTGTAAGTGCTGATTGTTTTTTAATGAAGTCTTCTGAACAAGTGAACTGATGATGAAACCAATAAATCATCAATAATTGAAGTCGATTGCAGTTGTTGAAAACCGTCCCTTTATGCCTCGCATTCGAGATATGGAATATAAATGTGAAAATGAATAATTCAATTCGGATGATAATTGAAAGAAATACCAGAATACAAGAAATAGGTGCACTTTTAATGAAGGTAATGAAATGATTCAGATTGAAAGTATGAATATAGACGAGTTTGCAGGACGATAATATGGGAGATTATCTAATAACAGATTGAACATTCACTCCTGACGACCGTCTATGACTCAAATGTGTGAATAATGATAAAATTGATATGATGAATAGGTACAATGAAAAGGATAAATATGTATTCAAGTAATTATTGAATTATGAAAGAGTATGTTATGGTACCAGAACATTAATCTTTCTGTTATCATGCTATTTTGAATCGCGTTAAATCTCGATGAGGATGAGAATAGTTAATAATTTATTGGAATCTTCAAACTAAACAAGAATTGATATTGTGTTATGAAATATCCAATTTAGTGTCAGTTAATCAGATATGAGACTAGTGTGAATATATAATGAATGCTTGTATCAGAAATAGTTTGTGAGAGTATTTCAACCTGTCGTCAACCAAGTGTGAAATCCCTACAGTATCACCCAGGTGAGATCCAATATATCCCATGATGAGAAAGAGGAGAAATAAAAATGATCCCTGTCAGAACTGTACATGGGATGATGAAAACATAGATGAATTCACTCAAGATTATGAACATAACTTTCATATAATAAGTTCAATCCATGAGATATCATTGGAAACATATAATTCACCAAATTTGCACGAGAAGAAAAAATATCTGATAAGATCCGTTGAAATGATGAACAAAATACAATTATGTAGTGAATCACTCCAGTTGCAGATGATCTTGACTGAGCATTGGCCCAATCTTTGATATAGGGGCAATATGGATCCTGATTGTCATTTGTATATGGTGTAAATGAAAATGAACGAATGAATGAATATCCTGCCAAGATTCATGTTACTGAGGTTTGCAAATGTTCAAGTTATCAGCTAGACAAGAAGCGAGTGATATTTAGGAAATACAGAAAATTAACAATCTCGATATGCTCACACTCATCTCCTTGAATGAAATGTATATCCCCATGAAACAAGTGAGATTTCTCAGACCCCAGAGCTGCTCACTGCATTGTTACTATCTTAGATAGATAGGTAGATGGCTCAAGACAGAATATCACAGAATGAAGTATTTTGTTCAATGTTCCATTTTATTTTTGTAATTTTCTCTCCTCGTCTCTATCAAATGAAAATATGGATACTATCTGAATACACGTTTAGTGAGGACAAATCAGATAATTTGCCCCAAAATATCACTGCGTTCAAAGAATTTCTCTATCAGAGAGCCCAAGAGAAAAATTCACTAGCTTGTCAGTGACAATTTGTATTAAAAAAGGTTTGAAGAAGAGAAAGTGAGGTATATAGAAAAAATATCAAATTTGCACTTATCTTTGGACATTTTGAGAACGAATATTTTTTTGTTTCTGACATGAAAAATGGATTATTTCATGACAAATTTGAATTTGTCTTGAAATTTCTCAGTTCTCAATTACAATTGTTGACGTTGGTAATCAAATGGCTTACAGGATGTTTTTATCATTCAATCTTGAATCAACCATTATTCAGTATTCCAGATGTCAGTAGTGAATTCCATGTTATATCCATATCAACTGGAAAGAAAGCTATTGTCGTCGTTCAGAGGAATGCGAGCAGATTCCTTGATTTTTTCTTCTGATTGTTATCTCTTTTCCCAATGATTTGAATATCATTCCACTCTGCCATTTATTCTCTCCATCGTCAGTGAGGATATTTTTTGCTAGTTTCGATTCATCGATGTGACTTTTCTTTATATTGTATCAATGTTCCTACGTCCTCACGAAAAGGGGTCTCTTGATTACACCTTATGAAACTTCTCACAAACACAAGGTATACTGTAAATACAATTTTTTCACGATATTTCTTCATTTTTTTGTTCTGTTTGAATAAGAATTGATCTCATTGTATTTTCAGTTCTGAACACAGTTTCCACTTGAAACTCATCACCAACACGTTTCATTTTTTCAGATATGCCAAAAATGTATTATATTATATTTGTCGTTGATAGTTGATTCTGTTGGATTGAAAATGACAATGATGAATCCAAGATTATTCAATAGAGACATCCTGTAACTCATTTGATCACCAACGTCACCAATTATCACGGAGAACTGAGAAGTGTCAAGACAAAAATACGAATTTGCGATACCGCAAATTAATTTTTTATATTGAAAACGGAAGCAGCTTTGTTTGCGAAATGTCCAAAAATGAATGAAAATTCGTTTTTTGTTCTATATACCTTCATTCATCTCCGCTAAACCTTTCTCAACACAAATAGTCACTATCAAGCTAGTGACTTTGAGGTTTCTGATAGGAAAATTCTTTGGACGCAGTGACATTTTGGGACAAATCATCTGATTTGTCCCAACTACACGTATATTAAAGTCGTATTCATATTTTATTTTATAGGATCGAGGAGAGAAAATCTCAAACTGAAAAAAAAAAACTAGAATAATGAATGTACCACCTCCACGATTAACCTACAGACAGTATGATTTGGAAAGCTCAAGGCAACTCATGAACGTGCGTGCATTCAGATAAAAAACAGTGTTGGGACATGTCAGGGTGACGGTGAATTAACGCGAAATATATACTTCGCAAATTTCACGCAGGACGAATATTTATTGTGTATTCCAATAATCCTCTCGTGAAACTCGGAATTCTAATTGTTTCACTTCTATTGTTTATATGACGCACACCATTCAGGTGGCGGCATAGGCAAAACTGTCAAGTTGAGGTACGATGTTTTCTGAATAAAATCTATCGAACTCACTTGTATTTGATGAAATTCCACCACAGCGAAAGCATCTGTTCCCGAATAGTCTTGTCAACTTCAATTCCGTTGAATTGGTCCCAAAGGTAATCTAATTCGGCACCATGTTCAATACCTACCAAGATAATTCATAAAAATAAAATCAATAATGGATAAGTTTATGATTTGGTATGTGGTATAAGTTCATCACGTATCACGTTCATTGAACATCTTCAATATCCTCATTTGAATGGAACCTTCAGTATATGGAACCCAATAAACTTAGCAGAACCACTTCAATATTTCGGATTTGCAATAGTACTATAATTTGTTACTAATTTAGTACTCATTTATTATCATATTCGCAAATTTATTACTCTTCATTAAACAAAAAAAACCAACGGCTCTGCTAGCTTTATGTGAACCTAGCAGAACCATAGCTGAAAATTTAATATTTTGAAAATTCTAAAGTTACCATAATCTATAACTATTTTTTTACTAACTCATAACTATTATCATGAATTTTTTACTCATTATTTCAAGGAAAAAACGACGATTTGTCTATCTCGATCTCAACCTCGATCTCAACCTAGCAGAACCAAAACTCAAATCACATGTTATTTGAAATTCTGTTGTATCATCGATAAGTTACTAATTTATTACTAATTTATTACCACATTCGCAAATTTCTAACACTTCATTCAACAGGGAAAACCAACGGCTCTGCTAGCTTGCTGTCAACCTAGCAGAACCATATAATATGCTAAACAATACTCATAACTGACTCTGTCAACGACATAGACAAATCGGCGGTTTTTTTTCTTGAATAGATTAGTAAAAAATTCGTGATTATGTTAATAAGTTAGTAATAAAATAGTAATAAATTATGGTATATTTGAAGTTTTCAAAATAATAATTGTTTACCTATGACTCTGCTAGGTTGACAGAAAGCTAGCAGAGCCGTTGGTTTTCCGTGGTAATAAATTTAGTAATAAATTAGTTACTTATCAATGATACAACAGAATTTCAAAAAACATGTGATTTGAGTTTTGGTTTTGCTAGGTTGAGTTCGAGATAGACAAATCGGCGTTTTTTTCATGGAATGATTAGTAAAAAATTCGTGATTATAGTTATAAGTTAGTAATAAAATAGTAATAAATTATGGTATATTTGAAGTTTTCCAAATAATAATTATTGTTTAGCTATGGGTCTGCTAGGTTGACAGGAAGCTAGCAGAGCCGTTGGTTTTTCCTTGTTAAATGAAGTGTTAGAAATTTGCGAATGTGGTAATAAATTAGTAATAAATTAGTAACTTATCGATGATACAACAGAATTTCAAAAAACATGTGAATTGAGTTTTGGTTCTGCTAGGTTGAGATCGAGATAGACAAATCGTCGTTTTTTTCCTTGAAATGATGAGTAAAAAATTCGTGATTATAGTTATAAGTTAGTAATAAAATAGTTATAAATTATGGTATATTTGAAATTTTCAAAATATTGAATTTTCAGCTATGGTTCTGCTAGGTTGACATAAAGCTAGCAGAGCCGTTGGTTTTTTCTGTGAAATGAAGAGTAATAAATTTGCGAATATGATAATAAATAAGTACTAAATTAGTAACAAATTATAGTACTATTGCAAATCCGAAATATTGAAGTGGTTCTGCTAAGTTTATTGGGGTAGTATATGGGAATCATGAGAGCTATTATGAACAATCATTGTTTAATAACGATCAGGTGCGAAACACTTCCGTTTCAACCAGGAGATGAAAACTTCCGTTTTTCAAATAGAACACCCTGTTTTTCGTTGAAACATTGAGATTCAGGTATAATCACGAATCATTGAATATGTTTTTCAGTGATTCTCAAATGTTATCAAACTATCACGATTTTCATTTTTCAGTTTGCACTAGTTTCTCCAGGAACGACTTTTCCTCAAACTGTTCGGAATTGACTTACCAAGATATCTCTACCAAGAACTATAACCTACAAGAATTGACAAGAGATACGCTAATTGTACTTTGAACATCATATTATTATAGGTACCTTACCATGAGAGACACTGACTGCTCCGTAACGGTCTGATATATTTTTCAATTCTTGTGACGCACGGATGAAAATTATGATTAGGTTCACATATTTAATGCAAAACGTGGGTGTTTCATCTTCTTCAGTGATTTTATTACTGTTTCCAACTATATGTAGGATTGAAAAAGAATTTTTATGAAATACATTATGAACAAGAATACAAAAAGATTGGGAACAATTCAAAAAATGAGTATGCAATTCGTGATCTATATTTGATACAAATACGAATTTTTCTTCGATCAATCCAACAAAAGACAGTTCTAGGCTATTTTCCTGACTATATGCCATGAAAAACATCAAACTACAACTATTGACGACACAATAAAAATTTTAAAATGAAAATCTTTTGTAATCGAGAATTTCATTCCACATTCAGATGAGAATATAAATATAACAGGTGTTTTGAAATTCAGTATCAATATTCCGAGGTCTCATTTTTCAGGTCTTAATGATAATGATTTTCTCAAAGAATATTTTGTATCCACAATCGTTTCGTTACCGATCCACAGGGTTTAATTTTTCCATTCCACAGTACTATCAATAATAAGTCAAGGTTTGTTTGGTTTGTTTCTTTCAGGTTATGTTTGGAAGATTCTTATTGAGATCAAAAACAAAATATGGCGTGTGTTTTGTTCACATCGTGATAATTAAAAATGTTCATCTGATGGAGCGGAAAGTGTGTTCCTTCTCGATAACGATTGCAGATGCTCAAAAATAACATGAAATAAAAAGGTTAATTAACAAAACAAGGAATACATTTTTCATTCCAAAATTCATCAGTGGCAAACCTCCTGAAAGTTTATACAGCAAAATATTTGACCCCTCAAAAATATTTTTCTGTCAATTCTTACAATAACTGCAAATGTTGTATGATGCAGATCCTGGAACGGATCCAATGTTTCAACAAGAATTTTGGGATTTAACAAAGCATTTGTAGACACATCATGTTTATAGAAAAAAAAGTCCTATTTTCATAGGGAAGAACGAAAGCTCGAAGTCATCTCTATACTTCTCCTTGATGTAATTATTCGAGGCGATATTTCTTGAACATATAAAAGTTCATCTCTAGCCCAATTCGAAAGTCCTCACGAGTATATTCGAGGAGAGAAAACATGTCAGGAAAAAAGAAAATTCTAATCACATGGAGGTGAAACATATTCAAAAGTTGTTGTCAATGCCTATCATCATAATTTCCTTAATGAAATCTGAGGATGAATGAGTGTTTATGATCATAAAGGGCCTCGTACCTGGGAACGGGTACCTATTTTGATCAGAAGTCAAGTCCCAGGAAGAAGGCTCAACGAGCCATTGTGAAGCACAGCTTACAGGGAACCTTTGTTTCAAAAGTGAGCGCCAATATTTCAATCAAATAACAATCAAGGATTTGACGAAAAAATATTTCCAAAATAATTGCTGATAACCAACTAATTGTTTCAAGAGCTGAAAAAGATCTCACTGATTTTAGTGTATTTTGATGTCGCTTATCTGTTCCCTTCTGTTCCTCCAGGAAACTGCATTCCACTCGTTCGTTGTTTGATGCTATTATCCTGAAGGCAGAACCGCCTAACTAGGCATAGTTCCATAGAAGGCATGGTCGCCATATTTTTCTTCCATCGCATATCTTGTAGAGCTGTACTGTTCCACGTCGGCATAACGAATGTTTCAGTTGTCCTCTAAATGTCGAAAGTGTATGTGGCCTCTATGAAAAATGTTTGCATTATTGTAGTGATATTTCAAGTCCTGATTGTTTCTTTCTTCTATCCATACTTGTTCATGAAGGTTCAATAACCGTTACATTGCATCCCATATGATGCATTGCACATTGCATAAAAGATGAGCATATAAAAAAATAATTCAGAAATTATGCAGTTTCCGCATGTTGGCATACCTAACATTGGCCATTGATGACATAGTATGCCATCATACGACTACCTAAGTAGCACACATATATTGGGACAATATCGGTGCAATATTAGCAAAATATCGGCAAAATATTGTGGAAGTAATATTAACGAGAAGAAAAATTTGAACATTCGGCGATATTGGAACAATATCAGTTTCTAAGTGTTGGTAGAATATTGAAAATCAGCATGGTGCAATGTCGTCTCGGGAAAAATTGTGAAATATTATCATATCAATATTGCTTGAAAATTCGTAGTAGTTATTTTGGTCAAAAAATGTAATATCAATATTGGCGAGGAATTGATATAGTGAACATTTGGCAATATTGGTGCAATATCATATGAAAATATTGGTGAATCATTGGAAATCATCATGTAGCTATGGTGTCTCAAGAATATTGGTAGAATATCTTCATACCAATATTACTGGTTTATTCGTGGAGTTATATTGGTCACAAAATGTGATATCGATATTGCTGATAAATATACAGTGAACATTTGACGATACTGGTCCAATATTGGTCGGAAATACTTGTATGTTATATATTATGAATACAACATTATCAAACATATTGATCACAATTATGGTTTTCCTCCTCATATCGATGGAATCCATAACAAATATCTCAACAGATCTACTTATGGAAGTTCGATTTCCTTATACAATTCTTCCAAAAAATTTTGCCTCGATTCCTTGCTACGGCAGAGTCTCTTAACATCGTTCACATTTTTCATAGATTCCTTTCCGTAATCATCATATCATGGCAATCAAGACCTCGACTCATGGCATGTCGTTTAGGACTCTGACTCATGTCATTGCATGTCTTCCAAATATTTTTTTTTTGTATTTTTCATTCGCTAGGGTTGTATTCAACATGTGTTCTTTTCTTTCGCCCTATCGGTTCTATTAATATCTCATTCAATAATGGCGCTTCCTCTCAAAATGATGATTTCTTGTGGGTTTTTTCTCTGCAATAGCTTGTCAAGCTTCCTTGCTGAGACTTGACTTGATAATAAAAGGTAAGCGTTCTCTCAGTATACGGAAAACCCGTTCATCCTCAGATTTTAACAAGGGTATTATGATGATGGGCATCGGCACCAAAATTGAAGAGGGGTTTCACTTCCATTTGAGTCAATAACATCATCAAAAGAGTGTGAAGATGACTTTCACCTTCCTTTCGTCACTATGACGAACTTCACTCTCGTGTGATCAAAAAAGAATTCTACAAGAAGTATTAGTGTGATCTGAAAGATGAGCCCCTGAAATAATAATACTGAATATTCATACGTTTATAACCTCATACGGAATATTCACCAGAACACAACTATAGGTATTTTTTTTCCTGGCTATCCCTTCCTGAATACATCGAATTAAGCACTATTTTCGCCATTTTTCGATACGATGTTATTTGAAAACTGTAATTGACATATATTCTCTCGCGTTCGAAAGTGCATATAATATGGGTGAAGCAATTGTTCGAGTCTGGAATAAGTTCGATTATACAATGTGTCCAAGATAAGAATGTCTATCATGGGGATCTCGGAAACCATAACAAAGAACCTAGTTGAATTCAACGCCACCAAAACTCAACCTTGCATTTTCTCTAGAAAGGCGGAACTCAGTATGCCCGATATTGTAATGTCTGGCTCCATCCCCACCAAGCCCACCATATCTATGCTCGGTATTTCCATCAGCCACACTCTTTCATGGAATAATCATGTCAGATCCATCGCAAAAGCTGCTTCACAGAAACTCGGATTCTTTTTCCGTGCGAAAAGCTACTTCACACCTTAACAGCTTCTCATAATCTACAAAGCGCAGATACGGCCTGTTCTAGAATACTGTTTCCACATATGGGGTTCAGCACCAAAACATACGTTGATGCTCTTAGATTCCATTCAAAAAAGAGCCATTCGCCTGGTGGGTGACGCCACACTCACTCACTCTTTGACATCATTGGAACACCGTAGAAAAGTCGTCGACCTTTCACTTTTCTATCGATACTTCCACGGGAAATGTTCTTCGGAAATCTCTGCTATCATTTCTTCACTAGCAGGACCAGTCAGACGAACTAGACAAGCCCAGTCAGCACATCCTTCCGTTGTCAACCTCGAAAGATGTCAAACAGCACTTTATCAAGACTCCTTCATCCATATAGAACGGCTAGGCTCTGGAATTCATTGCCTGTGGAAGTATTCCCAACAACATAATATAATCTCCAAAAGTTCAAGAAATATCCCAATACCTACCTCTTGTCCCTATCCTCCTTAGGAACGCACGATGTTCTTTGAACATTATAGGGATTCCCTTTCGTACGCTCCAAGCGATAAAAAAAAATAAGAGATACGAAGATTAATGAATTATAGAGGAGTTGCGCATTCTTTAGCTTAACAATTTGCCGTTTGAAAAATTCCGAAATGCTGGGTATTTCCGCAGATATGCCTGAAAAGCCGAAATATGCCGTTTTCGTTTTTATTTTTTCATGACGTTATCCAAAGATAGATTAAAAAACAAAAAGAAACTTCTGTCACTGTTTAAGCTCTACAAAACAACGTTGAGTGATTTTCCGTACGACGTTTCGTTTCGGAGAAACGATCATCAACTTTATTTTTTTTATATGGCCTGCAAAAAAAGTACACCCTGTATTGAATAGTATATTGTATCACGAATACAATGATGTACGACTCATAATGATTCTGCAATTTCACAATGGAAAGAATGTTTTTAATATTATTTCGAACGTTTTGGTTTAGTAGGCGGTGAAATGACCGCGCAGTATATGGTGTAGTAGGCTATTATTATTATACGTGTTCCGAAATTCAGAATTCAAATCACGTTATTGAAATTTCGAAAACTTGATTCATAATATACGTAGGTAGGTCACATAATATGTTAAAAAATTCAACAAATCATCTTCTAACTGACGAATTCAAAACACTTATCAACATATCAGGTGTGATGCTCTCGAACGCCTCAAGAACTAGTCTCCTAACTGTTAAATGTGTACCTATCCATTTTCCCAGAAATCTGTTCGATAAATACTCGCGCACGATTAGGGCATTGTGCGCAGGCGCACCATCCTGCTGAAACCAACAGTTTCTAACTATTGCAAGCGGTAAGTTGTCCAAAGCTCCTTCCAAATCGCGTTCCAATAAGTTACGGTAATGCTCTGAGGTAAGGGAATTGTTGTTAAAAAGGGGCCTTTTAAATCTGTTCCAAAAATCCCAACCCACATATTAAAACCAGAACGGTGATGATGTGTAGCCATTCGGTGAACTCAAGGATTATCCCTTGACCCATAATGGGTATTTCTTCGGTTGAAAATTCTCCCTGGTTTACGATTCACAAAATGTTCTTCGCCTTTCCTCGTCACCAGGTCTGAGACCTTGACAGATTCTGAATTTGAACGGGTGGAATTTGTGTTTTCTCAAAATAAAATGGGCAATAGATTTCGCTATACCAATGGTATTGTCAATTTCTCTAACAGATATTTCTGGGTTTCCAGTTACAGCTGATATTCCAATATTTTCTATTATTTCATCACATGACTTATTTCTTGACAATACTGGTTTCATAAATGCACCATACTCCTTCAGATTTGGAACCAATCGACCGAAAATTTTCGAACTGGGTTGTCTTCTCTCCGGATAGTTATTTGAATACATACGTTCAGCTTCAACAGCGTTGCTATGGCATAAGATATAACATTTAAATATATCGAACCTTTCCTCTGGTGAAAAAACACGTTCCATTTTGTAACAAAAAGGAATCTCTTGCAAGAACAAAGTTCAAAACCACTATGTGTCAATAATATGTCAATAAAATTATTTTGACATTGTCTCAGCGCCGTCAGTTCACCGCCTACTACACCTAAACGTTCGAAATAATAATAAAAACCATTTTTTCTGATTCAAACATTGCAAAATCATTATGTGTAATACATCGCTGTATTCGTAATGAAATATGCTATTTTATACATGTAATACATCGCTGTATTCGTGATGAAATATGCTATTTTATGCTGGGTATATTTTTTTTACGGGCCATATAAAATAATACAGTTGTTTATGGTTTCTCCGAAACGAAACGTTATACGGAGAATCTCTCAACGCTGTTTTGTAGAGCTCAAAAAGTGGCAATGATAGAGTATCTTTTGTTTTTTTATCCATCTTCAAATAACGTCAGAAAAAAATAAAAAAGAAATCGGCATATTTCGGTTCTTCAGCCATATCTCCGGCAATACTCGGCATTTTGAAATTTTTCAAACGTCATATTGTGAGGCTCAAAAATGCGCAACTTTTTTCTGATTCAACCATCTTCGAATCTCTTATGGTTTCTGAGATCCCCATGATAGACATCCTTATCTTGGACATAGTGTATACTACTAGTGCAAACTCAAAACTTCCTGAAAAAAATGTGATATTTCAAAAACCGTTGCAAATTTTGTTACGACAAGGTGATAAGTGCTTTTTCTCACATTCGAGAAATCTCATCTCATTTAACTATACACTCGGAGAAATAGTCGATAGTGAAATCAAAACTTCTAGTAGAACATGTGCCAGTTACTACATTCATCAAATGGTACCACAACAAAATTTCATCATACTATACTTCAAGTATCATACTATTGAGTAGTGCTATTATTTCAAATGAATTCAACAATATGATAGTGTTATCATCAGATAAATCTAGTGACTGTCTCCTATTTCAGTGAACGTATTGTAATTTTTACTGTCTCTTTTCATTCAGTGTACATGAATCAAGAGAATAATTCATCAACCTACGCATTCATGATAAATTATTTATATCTGTGATATTCGATCATTGAACCAAGAATCATTATGAATTTTGAATCATGTTATCCTTTCAGGAACGTTGCTTGCTTTCAATAGTTGAAGTTGAACATATCACCTGGAAATTTTGGAGATTTGTTGGGTCCAGCTGAAAACTGATACAAATAGACTGGTGCATGTCGGGATGAGAGCTCTGCCTGACGAACGGAAGATCGGATGAAAACTACATCACTCGTGAACTGAAATAGAATTCACTCATTATCGATCAAAATAGAGAGGTCCTTATGAGAAAAAATCGTGAAAAAATATATTTTCTTGAATTGGCGACTGCAGTCACGAAAGTCTGGTGAACCGTTCGCGGTTATTCCGTTTCTGCGCAATGTATGTATCAGGCAAAGAAACAAAAAAAAATTCAACTGACAAAAATATTCCTCTTCAATCGTTTGATTGAGTATCTGTTTGCATCTCTAGGACCAAAAAGGAATTCCTATAATGTTCGTGAAATATTGTGCGTACCTAGTACGGATGAGCGGAGGAGGTAGGTGTTGGAGTTCTCTTAGGAAGTTATGGGTTCTTAGAAATGCTTCCATAGGCAGAGAATTCCAGAGCATCGCCCTCCTATACAGTCTGCCCAAGATGAGGTTGAACAGCATGGGGATCTCGAAAACGGTAGGAGATACGAAGTCGGGTGAATAGGAGAAAAGTTGCGCATTCGGAGGCCCATATCAAGATCCTTCGAAAATTTCTAAAATTATCTTCAGTTTTCGAGTTATATCGAAAAAAGAGAATTTTTGGAATATCTCTTTCATTTTTTTTCTCCGTTAATATTAGAGATAAGAGATACAGAAAAACTGAGGATATTTTCGCACAGCAACTTTTGATGAAGTTAAACGTGGTGATACCGACGTTTCGTTTTCGTAGAACCATCATTAACTTTTGTTTTTTGAATACGGTCCTGATAATTTCTTCACAGATTCTGAAAGTTTTCTTTATTATGAATTTTACCATGTATTATACAAGGTTGTGTATGTTTGTTTCGACCTGTTTTTATTCATCATCAATGTTTTTCCGAAATTACAAAGGAAAAATCAACTCTACTTATTTATAAGGAAATTAAGTCAACACTCTAATACCTCATCAACTAGTTTCAATCAACAACCGATTCCATTCTGCGGAATTAAAAATGCCATCCAAACAAATTCAGAATATGTCAAGCGCTTTAACTAGGCGATGACGAAAGGCGCAAGACATTCTGTGAGTGATATATAGGAAATGTCGAAATTTTTCAGATTATGCACGAACAATCATCTGGACTGATGAAAGCATGGTCACTTATCATGGTATATTCGATAGAAAGAATACACATTATTTTTCACAAGAAAATGAACATTCATTCCTTACAGCGAGACACCAACACCGTTTTAATATGTGGGTTGCAATATTTGGTATACGAATTATTGGTCCTTTTATTTACCATGAATCACACACTTCCGAACGTTATAGAAATTTGCTTGAGAATCATTTTGAGGAAGTTCTGGATGATTTACCGATTGCTGAAGTTCAGAACTGTGAGTTTCAACAAGATGGCGCTCCGGTACATAATTCCAGAGAAGTCCGTGCGGTTTTATCCAGAAAAATGGATTGGTACTCATTCTACAGTCCCTTGGCCGGTGCGGTCGCCTTATTTGACACAGCTGGATTTTTTCTCAGGGAATATTTCAAAAACTCTGTATACGCGAATAACTTTGATGATGAAGAAGAACTAAGGGACAGTGTCTTCGAAGCATTCAATAAAATAACCCCAGAAATGCTTTTATGACTCAGAAGTGACTGTGAGAAGAGGATATCTTTGTTCAGGAAAGAATGGTATCATTTTGAACATTTGTTATGAATGTTTCTGTAGGTATTGTCAGAGTCAAGATGTTGAAGTAATTCGTGTAAGAATTCATCAACAATCTTAAGCGCTGCATTGAATGATGTGGTGTAATATATTTTCATTCACTTCTCAGTATTGAATAACTAATTCATCAATGTTTGACACTCAATGAACTGTGGAACTGATGGCACTCTTCCTTTGGAAGATAGAAAAGACATTGATGATGGATATCACCTTGTATAATACATGGTTGAATTTAAAATGAGAAAACCTTCCAGAATCTGTGAAAAAATTATCAGAACCGTATTCAAAAACAAAAGTTGATGATGGTTCTACGGATCCAAGACGTCGCATGAAAAAATCGGTATCACCACGTTGAACGTCATCAAAAGGTGCGATAATAAAGTATCTTCAGTTCTTTTGTATCTCTAATAATAACGGAGAGACAAAATGAAATATATATTCGAAATATTCCCTTTTTTCGATATAACTCAAATACTAAAAATAATTTCAAAAATTTCCGAAGGCTCTCGATATGAGCCTCCGAATGCGCAACTTTTTCGCCATTCAAACGACTTCGTATCTCCTACCGTTTTCGAGATCCCCATGCTGTTCAACCTTATCTTGGACAGAATGTATACGAACGAGATATAAATAATTCCATACGTTTTTGTCGGTAATAAGTTTTCATCAGACCTCTCCACAAACATTTCAGCTCAACTAAAACACATTTACGCGAATCTGGAATTTGTATCGAGTATTTATTGAAATATTCCAATAATACCTGCAAATCTCTAGACAGATTTTGCGATTTTGGATCATTTCCAGACGTGAATGAAGTTTCCAAATTAGTACAACAAGGAATTCTGAGGCTCATTCATAGTTGCGACAAAAATAGTAACTCAACAGAATATTTTTTGTAGGAACAATCGTAGCAGGAAGAAAATTTAGTGTTTCCATATCTTCTTTGGATGTTATTCGTGCATTGTCAATTCGAAAAAGCTTAGTTTCGTTTCTAACGTTGATATAATGATCCTCCTAACAGTTTTGTTTTCCCTACATTGACCAAAAGAAAAACTCTCGCACCTCTTCCAAGAAATAATATTATCTACTACCTTGGTTTGAAGTTCAAATCGTTCCAGATGAGTGCTGTAATAATTCGTATAGAAACTGATGAATAGAAGGCTATATACGTATGATGAATCACGATGGATATAAGATATCCAAACTGTGTTATTTAAGAAATAGGCAAGGCAAAAATACTATTTGTTGAATTCTTTACTACAAAATATATGCAACAAGCTGAATAATTGTTCCTGCATTTCCAATCAACTTTCGATTGATATGAAGAAGGAAGAACAAACTTCTTTGGAATACTCAGTTGCGAACGCCATCAGCTGCCTCATGCCTCATTAGCATCACACATATGGCTGCGCGTTAGACTTTTTTGTCGTTTCCATTCGAAAACACTATCAACGTCTGGAAATTGTTCGCAACCGCAAAATCCATTTTATGATTCGTGGGTATTATTCCAATCAGCAATTAATACGTGATTGGAATTCCAGATTGCCAACAGAATATTCATTGAGAATTCTGATGGAATATTCCTCAAGAGTTCTGGTAATACCCTATAGTGAACTAGAACGTGTGACATTTCATTCTCGAGTTTTATCAATACTGATTTGAAAAATCAAAGAATCGATTGACTAAATATCATTTTTTTGTTTCTTTGCAGACGTACACATGCTGAAACTCCATTCCACGTCTGGAAATCATTTGGAACTGCAAAATTTCTCTAGTGATTTCCAAGTATTATAGAAATAATGCAATAAATACGTTATTAAAATTTCAGATCGCTCAAAGTATATATATTCATTATTTATTTATATCTCATATTCTCACACAATTATTTCAACTCGCAAAAAGGACCTTCTCAAGATTCGTTGCCAGATCTTGAACTGTTCGACCAAAATCTTTCAGTACATGCACATTAAACAGATACAGGAGTACGTGAACATACAACACGGCTCCCTCTACTGCGAATGTCTCCTGTCTCCATCCATGACGTGACACTGTGAGGTAATGACCCTCTTGTAGTTCTTGAAGAAAAATTGAACTTTGCAAGAATGAGTTGGTCTTCCAGGAAAGTAGTCATTGTTTTTTCTTGAACCAGTAGAGGGAGCAGTGTGATATGTTTACGTGCTCCTGACAAACACGTATAGATACGTATAGATAAATGAAATCCCGATACAGTGTGACTGAGATTGAGCTGCAAGGCATAATATTTTCGTGATAGACACAATTTGCGCATGTAGAAGGTCATTCCAACAGCCATCAGAAATTTCTGGAATCATATCCAGTTTTCCAGTATTATCGAAACGATTAGATTTTTCGAAAATATATTCCCGATTTAATGTAAAATTCCGAGGTATTTTCTGAATGGAATGTGATGCTGGAAGGGTTAGGAAACACGAAATCATTATCGAAATGTTCAATAACTATATCTCCATTGGAGATTGAAAGAGCTGTTAATACTCATGATATCGGAACTGGAAGACTGGAACCGTCGACTGAAGAATCCACTTCACTGTTTCATCACTTACCAAAATATGTGTTTCGATAACTATGTCAGGATCGCATAAACAAGATCAAAACCAAATATTGTTTTCTATTGTGCTGTCATACAATACCAGGTACTATTTTGATCGTGAAATATACGAAGTGCGGAGTTTATGTCTATTATGGTTGAGTTCACATGTGTTAAAATACGGGTTAATCGAGGGTTTTCATCGATAAATATCCATAAATAGTGGAATATTTAACTTTATAACAAATTGATGACATTCGCGTCAGGCCAAAATCAAAGTCAATAATCCTCGTCTCCCATAACAATCCCATGATGAGACAAGGCGCTTGATATATAAATTGCTAACACATGTTACCTCAATCCATATCACTACATCATACAGAGGGCTATAGGGAATAGGTATAATATTTTTTTCCGAGACTCTATAACTGATCCCCAATATTCATAGGCTCTTTCAAATATCTGATTTGATATAATAAACTTGCAAGATTGAATATTTGTTTGGCTATACTCGATGTATCTGACCTATCAAAGGTGAAAGGTGTTCTTCGAACTCTGTTTCATAGGTCTATATTATATGTTGCATCACTATTATAATAACAACTCATCTCGAATATCTCTGAATAATCATATGTATTCATTTTATATTTCGGATTGCCTAATGAATTTCTCAATTTCGACCCAAACAGATGAACGCTTCAAGAACTGAAGTATTTGATCTGGTGTTTAAATTTATATACTT